ACACCCTTTCTCGTGTAGCGAAATCGTAACATTCATCCCCACGGGGATGTTAAGCTCTCGCATCGACAAGGTCGAGGACACGTTGATTACGGACTTCGAGGATGTCGGAGCCAAACAGTACCAGCGTATTTGTGTGGCTAGCGACGACTTGACCAACCAGCTGCAGCGGCTGTCTCGAGTGATTGACATGTAGACGTTGCACACACCCCGGCGCGTCCCTGGTGACTGACTCGGGCGACCTCCCCCCCGGGCGCGTCCCCGGTGACTGACCCCGGTGACTGACTCGGGCGACCTCCCCCCCGGGCGCGTCCCCGGTGACTGACCCCGGTGACTGACCCCGGTGACTGACTCGGGCGACCTCCCCCCCAGGCGCGTCTGCGGCCCGGCCCGGACCGCTGGAGGTGGTGTTGTCAAGCATCCTGGTCTGCAAGGTCAAGCATCCTGGTCTGCGAGGTCAAGCATCCTGGTCTGCGAGGTCGTCATCTTCGTCTTCGACATCTGCCTGGCCGGCCAGGAGGGCTGTGATCTCCTGGAAGGCGAGGGGCGAGCCGGCGAGGTCTGTCGCGAGGACGGAGAAGAGTGAAGCGACTTCGTAGCCAGAGACACCACTCACGCGTTTGTACGGGATCCTTTCCTTGGTGGCGTAGGCCTCCGCCAACTCGTTGATTCGCCCCTCTGCCACCCGGTCGCATTTGGTTCCCGCTAGGTACACAATCAACGCCATGCTGTTGTCCACACGCGTTTTGTACGTCTTCAATAACTGGTGTAATTGCACCGCCTCCAGAAACGTCTTTTCCTCCGTCAGGTCAAAGACCAACATATAGCCCATCCGGTCTAACCACCGTGTGAGTGTGTGAAAGTGTCACGACCATGTGAGTGTGTGAAAGTGTCACGACCACGTGTGAGTGTGTGAAAGTGTCACGACCACGTGTGAGTGTGTGCGTACGAGGCGTGATGGGTACAAGCGTAAGGTCTTTTCGCCAGGGTAAAGGGAACATGTTGAATAAGCCCACATCGTCGGCATTGCGAGTGATAGCGGGGGCGCTAGTGGAGCTAATGTACCGACAGACCGGATCGTGAAGTTTCTGGTCGTCATTGAGTCCGCGCCATGCAGCAGCATCTTTGAGCAAGTCGCTGCCGGGTGTATCCTCGATCTCGACTAGAATGGACTTGGGTGCGTGTTCAGTGGTAATGACATGGAGCTTGTAGTAAAGGTCACACTGAGCAGTTGGTGAAAGCTCCCAACACTCCTCCTTCAAGGTGTGGTTCAGGAAGCAGTCTATCAACTTGGTCTTACCACTGCCACGACGTCCCAGCAACGTGACACGTACCACTGGTACCTGCAGCTGCTCAGTAGTGGTCATCCAATCGCTTTTTCGTCCGGGTTGATACACCCAGAGTTTTACCCTAACCTTTTGATGACCGAAGAAGGGCACAATAAGTCCAACGATGCCACGACGCAAATGACCAAGGCACGAGCATTGGAGTATTTACTCTGTCTACCCCATGAGGCAGCTTTGGTTGATTACTTGCTAGATAAAGATGCTCTAGTGGTCTGCCATACCGGTCTACATCAGTATCGTTTAGCGGCATGTTTTCTACATGAGTGGTACACTACCAAATGGCGTTCCCCTGCGAAACCCGTAATTATGTGTTTGGGCATACACACGCAGGAAGACACCGAGACTTTCTCCAAGGTATACCATAGCTACTTGGCCGCGGCAACCATCGTTGGGAATACCACCATCGTTGGGAATACCACCGTCGTCGGGGAGCAGCGCGTTGCCCATTCGCTTCCTCGGTGACACTGTGTCCTCGAAAGAGCGGCGGCAAATCTTGAGTGAAGGCGGCCTCATCACTGCATCCCTCCAGACGTGGCTGATTGCGTTGCTGCACAGCCGCGTCGTCGGAGCCCTAGTCAACGGCCTCGTGATTTTCGGCGCGGACCGCATACCCCGCAGCCATATGTCTACCTTTGTCTGCAACCTTTTTACTGCTACCATCCGACCCTCAATTGACGTGCCCAAACAGAGAGATATCAGACAGAAAGATACCATTCGGCGATCGTCGTTCTTGAAGGCGTTCGTTCCAACTGCCAGCTGCTTCCTTTCCAGTCTCGAACAGGCATTGAGTGTTCTGTGTCTGGATAACGAAAGCCTCATACTTTGCCAAAAGAACTCGCCCAAGATCGTTAAATACATCAACCCTATCGTCAACCGCTGGATCAAATGTGACCAGATTGTCATCACCGCGTCCCCGGTAATCCAACTGTTATGGGATGCACTCAATTCACTACAGATCAAAGTTACGAAATCTATCAACCCGAATCAGAGCGATGCTACCGTCATAGAAGAACTCAAAACCAAACTTGTTTACTCCAATGCATGCCAATTCCTCTCTACGCTCATTCATTATAGATACATCTGCGACAAAAATAAAGAACAAAATTACAAGTGGTATACATACCCAGAGACAAACCACATCATCAACGGAGCCGTCTCCAGGGTCACCAAACCAGGCCCGGATGGCGAATATGAACCCGTATTCGAGTTGGAGCCGAGGTTAAAGGAAATATTCAGTGTTATTGGAAGTATTTCGAGTGATGCGCTGGCTGCGCACACGCGTGTGCTAATAATCTTTAATGACGAATTTCTGCTAGAGCGTTTTCAGGAATGTTTTGCGTCAAACCCCGAGTCACATATGGTCAACCAGATTAGAAAGCTGTGCTTACGGGCGCAGAGCAGCACGTCTTTCTCTCCGACTCTCAGAACCAAATTTGATGCTTTGCTGTCAAAATTGAAGGAGTATCCGGCTACGACGACTTTTGGAGGAGGCGAACCGCCATTGTGGGATAAGCCCATTAGACATCACCACCCGGCGTTGGAGCTACGGACTTTACTTACGGGAGTGACTACGGATCCGACGGCGATCTCGCGAGCGCTGATACAAGTGAATCCTACCCATGTGATTTTGTCCTGTTACGACATAGTATGGTTAAGAGAACTGCAATATTCCGTGGCTCGACAGCGAACGTTCGGAAAGTGGATGTCCTGTAAATCTGTAAGGGATACAACAGAAAAGAATGATGGCAGGCAAGATACGGCGGAGAAAATCAAGAGAGAGATCAAGGGAGAGGAGGCCAAGGGCGAGGAATATGGTTCCTCGCGAAAGCGACGGCGTGCAAGCAGCGAGGGTCCACCGTCAAAGACGGCGAAGAACAATCTTCATGGAGCACGCCTGCTGAGGATCGGTCAACAACTTGCTTTCGAGACGGACCACCTGCGTGCAGATGGAAACATACTTTCCGACGCGCACGTCCGCTGCTCGGAGAGCGTGCTTCGGTGTTTCATTGTCGGTTCGGACATGGAGGCCGGCGTGTTCCGCGACCGGTTGTCGGAGGAGAGCAGCACGGCAGAGTCGGTGGAGAATTTGCGTTCATCACTGTACGTGCACCGCGGCGAGACGGAGACCGAGGTGCTCAAGTCGCTGCGAACTGATGAAGACCGGGTCGCCTACATGATTGCTCGGAGTGCGGGCAGTGCCGGGTTGGCTCACTTGGCGTCGACGCGGCGTGGCGGCGGTGGCATTGCAGCGTTGATGTCTGCGATTAAAAAGCAGATGCTACGCCGCGAGGATTTGCTCACGATGAGTCCGGAGCAAATAATTGAGGCCGTGCGCGGCGTGGTGTTGGTGGATGTACGCGAGTTACGGGCGAGTTTGCCGTTTGAATTATGGAAGGCGGGTGTCAAGTTGCGGCCGCTGACTATGGAGACCTCGGACTACATCCTGACGCCGAAAATCGGGATTGAACGGAAGGCCGTGAACGACCTGATTAAGTCGCTGGCCAACGGGCGGCTGCTGAGCCAGGTGCAGCGGCTTGTCGCGACGTTCGCACAGCCCACTCTGCTCATCGAATTGCCCAACGGCCGTTTCTTCTACGGCGCTAAAGACCAGTCCGGCGGCAAGAGTGATCCCATGTTGATCCCCCGTTTGAGTGTACTGATGGCCGGGTTCCCCTCGCTCAAGTTCCTCTGGAGTTACGACGGCGGGTCCTTCACGCCCGAGTTGTTCAAAATCCTCAAACGGTTCCAGCCGGACCCCACTTTGGCAGACGCGAAACGCACGCGACAGGGCGCCGCCGGGCGCCTGCTCAAGCGCGCGGCGGACTCACAGAACCCCGCGGCCAGCGACGCCATTGCTTTCCTCCCCAGCTTCAGCACCGCGGTCTGCGACCAAGCCGTCACCCACGCCCGCACTCTCCGTGACCTGGCCAATCTGACCAAGTCCCAGCTCCAAACCGCCCTCAACTCACGGGCCGGAGCGGACGCCTACGACTTCTTCAACCACGATTTCCGCGCCCTCGCTTGAGCCCGGCCGGCCACGAGTTGACTGACTCACCCGGCCACCGGCACCCAGCGACCAGCTCACCCCCCTGAAGAACTCTCTCAGCTGAAGAACTCGTGACCGACGTCGTTGTCCGCCGCAAAGTTCTCCTTCCAATCCGGCGCGTATTCTTCGAACATCCCGTGCTGGGTCATCAGTGCCTCCAGGTCCGCTTCTGTCCAGTCGTCGGAGTCTGTGAAACACAGATTCGTCGCGCACCAAGTGGGCTAAAGCGAAACGCCGCAAGGGAAACGTGTTCATCAAAAGAGAAACGTGTTCGTCGGAAGGGTTGAGCAACTGGGTAGGCACGTGGGTTGACTGGGTAGGCACGTGGGTTGACCGGAGGGGCTTACTGTTCAACTCTGCGAATCCGGTCATGCCGTGAGTTATCCGCATCTCTTTTATAAAGACGATCTGAGCAGCACGGTCGGTGAGGAACGGCAGCAAGGAACGCCAACTGGCAGTGATTCTTACGGTGGGAATGACAACGATGTTCAGGCGTGAGACGAGGAATGGATGTCTTTCAACATCGGCAGCGACAAAGAGGATGTCGATGTACTTGGATGCCAAGGCCTGCATTTTTTTGGTGAGGTACTGGGAACGTTCGACGTTCAGGTCCTTCTTGTAGAAGTGCACCAACACTTTCGGATTCGACTTGGACAGGCTGAAGAATTCCACCTCACCCCCAGACTCGAGGATCTCGCCATGGCCCATTTGCTTCCACAGCTCAAAGGCTTTTCTCTGACGCAAGAACTCCTGCCGGCGTTGGGTCCTCAACCACTCCAGATCGGAATCGTCCATATTTTATATCTTTCGGCAGACTCGCACAGAGGTTTGTGGAAAAAAAGGAACTCGTCACGATCCTGTGGAACTCCCCGCACGAACAAGCGTCGTTTTGTGCAGCCAGTCGGCGGTGCCAAGGCGTCTTTTCTTGGCGGCTTCTTGCTCGGTTGGCCGGTCACGTTTCCGTTCGGTTGTTCCGGACGGGAGCTGCTTGTGCATGTTTTGGGTTTGTTGGGGCGTGACGCCCGAGCATCCAAGCAAGCACTCCGTTACACGGCAGTCGGAGATTGTTGCAGCAGCAAGTCGTGGCTTGAACAGCGCCACGAGTTGGCCGAACGTGCGGTCCCCGAGTCCTTGGTGAATGAAGCGCGCGGCGGCGCCGAAGACTGAAGACTGCCGCAACTTGATTTCCCGGTCGCACTCGTCGAGTTGCCCGAGATACTGGGCTCCGCTCTTGAACCAGTGTGCCGCCCAGCAGAGGAGGGCCACTACCCGTCGGGAGGCTTGCGATTCGGGCAGGGGGCCGAAGTCGGGCGGGAAGATGTCGGAGTGCAGGCTGAAGGAAGACTTCCAGCCGCTATCGCGGGTGGCCAGCCACCGGCCGATGCGGTTGTCCAGCGTCCGATGGACAGCTGAGGTGCGCAACACGGCGGCAAGGAACCACAGCGGCGAGACACCGGCTGGCCGCGGGATCGCTCCCTCGGCTGTGGCCACCAAGTCGTTGACTACAGAGCGGTCTAACTGGTCTTTAATGACGCCGGCCAGGTGCACCCAGCGCCACCGACCTTTGCCAAAATCCGGCTCGGCTGCGTGGTAGGGCTTCTTCCACTCCAGGTTGCCCGGCACGGCCCACTCCGCCACAAACTCGGCCACCTCTCGCTTGCCCTCCTTCGGGAGGACCCCTTCCCGGTCCATCCACTCCCTCCCGTAGCGCTCTGCCGCCTTCCGCTCTGCTTCGACCCGTTCCTGTATCACAGTCGCCACGAAAGCTCTCAAGCCGGAGTCAGCGGCCGCGTCCCAGCTCGAAGCCGATTCGGACCGACGGGACGGAGGCGCCGGCTGTTTGGCGTCCCCCTTCATCCATTTGGGCAGGACGTCTACCCAGCTCAGCAGCCAACACGCGCGCTGACAGGCCGTTAGCTTCGCTCCTGCGGGAGGGGGAATGTGAGTCATCCAAGTGTCGATCTCTTCGTCGAATCTGTTCGGACCCAGTGTCGTGCGTAGAGACGAGACTAGAGACGCTCGATGAAAAGAATTTACTGCGGCCGGCTCCCCAGAGCGGAACGCCGCAGCCGCTTGGTGCAACCAGAACTGGAGTTTGGAAGCGGTTGCTACCAACCTAATTGCCTCCTTGTCTTGCGGCAGTCGTGGCAGGTCATCCGGAATGGTGTCTCTGTACAGCAATGCATTCGAACTCCAGGCAGGCAGTGTCTTCAGCAACTCCGAATTGAGGGGGTTCAAGTTGAGGGGGTCCGATATTCCGAACGCGTGCATCGTGCACGCTAGGAACCATGTGTCGCCGACGCCAGGGGGTCTTCTTACCATTAGCTGCGCCATTCCGACCAGCGTGTCGAACTGGCTTCTCGCTGTCTGTGCGCCACCGGGCGACCGAGTATTGGAGTCAACGAATGATTGCCTGGACAACCGCTCTCGCAAAAAGAGCGCCAGATTAAGCGCCCGGTACGGCGAAACGGCGAACGAGACGTTCACATTCTGCTCCCTCGATGCTCCTCGAAAGCAGCGGGAAATGTGTCTCACAAGCTCATTTGCCTCGGTTTCATTCGACAGTTGCAGAGGAGCTACCTCTTCTGCTAGACAATCATTCAAGACGCGGGCAGTCAGCCCCTGCAGGACACCACGCGTGTAGGCTGCATCCTCTCCGACACAAGGCTCAGCAGGCCGGCTCGACAACGGCAGGCGGCCGTCGCGCGCTCTGGGATGCACCTCTTTCGCGCGAGTCGCCAAGTTTCGCAGTTTGCAAGCACACCTCTTTCCCGGCGGGATGTTTGCCCTACCCAGAAGCCGCGAAGCCTGCTCCGACGACTCGGTCCTGGAAAAACCCGGGATTCGAGTCGTCCAATCCCGGATCTCCTCATCGAATCTCTTCGGACCCAGCACACTACGCATGGTCGACACTATCATAGTTACTCGTTGAGCCGACTTGACCTGTTTCCCAGCGTAAAAAGCCGTGGCCGCTTGGTGCAGCCAGAACTGGAGTCTGGAAGCGGTGCTTACTAACGTAGTCGCCGTCGAGCCTTGCGGCAGTCGCGACAGGCCATCCGGAATGGTGCCTCTGTACAGTGGCAAAAGAGAATTCCAGCCCCTCAGTGCGGGAAGCCGCTTCGGCATCCTCCGCCAGAGGGAACCTGATCTTCCGAAGTCCTCTATCATGCACGCTAGGAACCACGTGTCTGAGACTCCAGGAGGCTTTCTCAGCCTCTGTTCCGCCATAGCCACCAGCTCATCGAACTGACTTCTCGCGACGGAGCCTGTTTGGCCTACGCCCGAGTCATTGCTTTGACTGAGTGGTTGGTCGGACAACCTCTCTCGCAAAAAGAGTGCAAGATCATATGCACGCCATGTACAAACGTCGAACGAGACGTACTCATTCCGCTCCAGTGCTGTTGTTTGGAAACAGGTGAAAACACGTCGCACGATCTTGCTTTCCTCATCGCCACACGGCTGTACAGGATCCACTCCTTCAGCTAGACAGTCACTCAAAACGCGAGCTGTCAGTCCCGGCAGGACATCCGGCCGATGGACTGCATCCTCTCCGACACAAGGCTGCCCGACGCCAGGTTGACCGGGTGACTCCGCCGGTTGTCCGGCCAGAACCGGTCCCGGTCTTTCGCAGCGCTGGTCAACCGTGGAATCTGCTCCTGCTCTCGTCTGGTCCATCATAAGCAAATCCGATTCCACATCCCACGGACTCTCCTGACTCTGCTCATCGGTTAGATACCGGCCCCATTCCACATCTAGAAACTTACCTGTCATACTGGACGTTCCCTCATGCTCATTCGGGATTCCTAACGCGTGTGACTGAGCTGCATCAGACTGCCTTGCCGTATGCGGTGCCCATACATCTGTGGACAACTGCCCGGTGCCAGTTTGTACATGTGCTTCCGGCGAGTGTCCCAGTTCTTCACACGACCGGTCCATCGTGGCATTTGCTCCTCCCACTTGGTTCATCATTAACGATGCCGATTCCACAACCAGAGAATCCACCCAACCGTCTGCTCCCGGATTCTGCTCATCCGTCAGGTACTCAAGCCACTCCGCACTCCATTCATCAAGCACGCTGCACGTTCCCGCATTCTCCTGATTTGTGATTTCGAGCGCATGTGACTGGGCTGCCACTGACTGCACTGCCGCAGACGAGACATGTGTACACAACTGTTTGGTGCCAGTTTGATCCTGTACCTCCAGCGAGTGCTGGGTCGGAAACGGTCCCAGTCCTTCGTCCCGTTGATCCACTATGTCATTTAGCTTTGCTTTCGTGTGATCAATCAGAAACGATTCCCAGCCCACTTTCAACGCGTTCGACACACTGGATATTCCCGGATTACCGTCATTCGCTGAATACCGGTCCAATTCCACCCGGTCCAATTCCACCCGGTCCGATTCCACCCGGTCTAATTCCACGTTACTTATGGTCTGGGATGCTCCAATATTCTGGGATGCTCTTCCTCCGTATCTGTGGTTTACTGTGACAATAGATGGTGATCCGGTTTCCATCATGAGCTGTCTTGTCGATTGTGCATCCGATTCATCGATCATCTTGAATGCTTCTGCATTCTGTTGATTCATTCCTTCTGGTGGATATTGCTGCCCTGCCGCAGTCTGCAGGGCTCCTCCACACAGCGTCACTGCATTTGTAGACCAGCCTCTGGCGCAAGTTTGACTCTGTACCTTTGGTGGGCGATCGACCAGGATGGCTGGCGCTTCGTACCGCAGGTCTACCCCGTCGGCATCTGCTCGCACGTACCCTCCATACGTCTGTCTCATTTCAGACGGATCGGACTGACCGGTCTGTGTTGGGGTGTCCCTGTAGTCATTTGGTAGCTGACTCGGTGACGGCAGCACGAATACAGCTACTCTTAAGAGGCAATGTTTCCTCCAATGTTGGTCCCACCGCGGCTGGCGCATTCGCTTCGACGGGCTTTGCCACAATTTCAAAAAAGGCGCCGGCCGCCTCTTTCTTCGCATATTGAACAAGACCTGCTGGCACCTGTTTGTTGCGGGATTGGCCTTGAACCTCCGGAAACTACTCGACTGGAAGACATCTTCTTCCTCCAGGACATTTGCTCCTGATGGTCTGATTCGTTGGTGTTCATTGCATATTCACCATCTTAGACATTTTGTTGCCTGGATCCGTGTTGGATGAATGCTTCTTCAGGTGCGAAAACAGTAATGCTTGTGCCGGATTCCAAGACGCCGGGACGCTCTTATCCATGCCCAACAGGGCGGGTAGCGGCTGACTGACCGTATTCTGTCGATTCCAGACGGCTAAGCAGACGTCGTTCGACATAACGTTCACGTCGGTGCTGACTCGGGTTATACATACGGGTGCGCGACATCCTCTGGCCCAGAATTGTCAGACGATGGCAAAGTACAACATGACCGAAGAAAGTGTTGCCCAATAGCGAGACCCGATAGGAGGCTGGTAATGAGACCCGGGTAGGAGCCAGACGTTGCTGTTTTCAGGTGAGGGACTAATTTATTTCGACGCGGCCCCTTATCGAACTTTGTGCTTGGTTCTTTTCGATCGTTTTCTGGGCGGTCCTGCACCTTCAGGTTCGGCCGCCAGTCCTGACGCGAGATCGAACTGTCCGAAGAACACTTCGGCTCGTCCGGAATCGATGGTGGAGTGCCGGAGCAGGACGATCATTGCCTCGGTGTCGGACAACCGGACATAGGGGGGGAGTGGGAGTCGCGGTTTAAACAGGGCACCGAGTTGACCGAATGTGCGGTCCCCGAGTGCTTCGCGGACGAACCGAAACACGCGATGATGCCAGGGCTTGTCTGGCAGTCTGCGGCGATCACCTTTGGAACGGAAGTTATCGGCCCCCTTTTTGAGCCAGTGTGTGATCCAGCAGACGGCAGCCAGCTTCTGACGTGATGATTGCCATTCGGGTAGTTGGCCGAAGTCATAAGGAAAGACATCGCAATACAGGCAAACTAGGGACCACCAACCGCTATCGTCAGACGGGAGCCACCAAGTGAGGTGGGTGTTCAGGTCCGCATCGGTCCGCAAGAACCGCAGCACAGTGGCGAGGTACCACAGGGACGAGACTCCGGCAGGCCGCGGAATCACCTGCTGAGCCCTTGTCACGAAGTCGTCGACTACACGGGGGTCTAACCGGTCTCTAATGAAGCCGACTAGGTGCACCCATCGCCACCCGACGAGGCTGAAGTCCGGTTTCGCAACGCGGTGTCCCAGTGCGCCCAGGTCCACCCGCCCCAACCAACCAACCACATACTCGGCCACCTGTCGCTTCCCTTCCTCCGGCATGAATCCTTCTCGATCCAACCACTCCTTTCCGTAGAGCTTTGCTGCCTTCTGCTCTGCTATGACACATTCCTGTATCACAGTCCCCACGAAAGCCCTCAAGGCGGGCTCTTCTTCTAGCCGGGACACGGCCGCTGACTGACCCTGTATCCCCCCTCCTTCTTCATTCATCATAAATGGTCCGATATTCATGATGTCGGCTGCTCGCATATTCTGTTGGTCTGTCCGGGTCATAAACGATTTCGCATCCACCTGCTGCACTGCCTCAGATGAAACCAATACTTGACCCTGTACCTCCAGCGAGTGCTGGGTCGGAAACGGTCCCAGTTCTTCGCAGCGCTGGTCTACCGTAACATTTGGTGCTGCTTCCGTTGCGAACAATTCCCAGTCCACCTCCAACGAGTCCAACATACCCGCTTCTCCTGAATCCTGGTCATCCAGCAGGTACCAGTCCGGATTAAAGTCATTTACGATATCTAATCCCCCCGCATTCTGATCATTCGTTAAGTACTGGTCCCATTCCTCATTCCATTCATATGTAACCGGGGTCACCGTAACCGGGGCCACCGTAACCGGGGCCACCGTAACCGGGGTCATCATCAATGACTCCTCATCTAACGCATCCAACGCGTCCAATGATTCTCCTGGATCCAGCTCACTCATTAGGTACTGGTCCCATTCCTCATTCCATTGCCCTGTCACACTGGACGCCAAAGGCCTTACAAAAATGGCCAGTCGAAACGTGAAATATTCTTTCTTGATACGATTACATCGCGGCGGCCGACACATTGCTTTCAAAGGGGCGGCTTTTTTTAAATTTTACACATTCTTCTTGGGGGGCCGGCAGCTTTCTCGGTGCCTTTTGTTTGTCGTGCGGAGACTCGACAACTTCCAGTGCGTACTGGCCAGTTGTACATGTAATATTTTGTTGTGGCACCATGGACCGCCATACCCTGCTCGCTTATGCCGCCAGCGGATTGCCGCGGCATGTACCGCAGGGACTGCGCCACGAGCAGGCCCCAGCCCCGGCGTCCCGACGCACCTGGGCTTCACACTGTCGGCGCCGAAAGTCAGCTTCCACTCTGTCAATGGCCTGAGCTGTCGTTGACTGAGATGTCGTTGACTGCACTGCCGCAGACAAAGTCTCTGTGGACGACTGCCTGGCGCCAGTACCTTCGGCGAGTGCCGAGTCAGAAACGGTCCCGGTTCTTCGTACGGTTGATCCGCCGCAGCATACGGCTCTGTTGCAGCTTCCACCTGTAGCCAAGTCCCTCCAGAGGTCCGTTTTATGTCGGATGGATATGCCCCCTGTTGGACTGATGGGTCAACTCCGTCATTCCACCCATTGACGGCCACACGAACATAGCCACTCGCAACACGCTGCGTTTCCGCCAAGGTGGTTCATTTCCGCCAAGGTGGTTCATTTCCGCCAAGGTGGTTCAAATCCGGGCTGACGCGCCATTTCCAAAATGTCCACAAACGGAGCAATAATTCTGAACTTACCATTCTACGCGTAAATCGAATGGGTGCCCTTCCGTGAGATTTCAATTCTTGAGCCGTCATAACCAACTGAGCTCATGCTGTTAGGTCCCAGCCCTCGCACCCTTCCGACCCTTTTTTGTTTGGCTATGCGCCCCCCCCCACAGGTATCCTCAACAACGTTTATTTCCTAACAGTCGTAGGCGCCGTTCCTGGACGAGTGATGGGTTCCGGCTGAACCGAGATTGTTTTTGTCGTTATGCAGGCTCTGAAGCGACCGTGCCATGGGCCATTAGTGGCGAAATTATCTTCAGCGGAACGGAAGTCTTTGACCACGGGCACTGGCCCGTGTCGGGGGGCTTCTGCGCAGCCATTTAGCCCAGGGTAGCCCAACGCTCGACGTCGAACACGTGCGCGGTCAACAAGCAACCGAAGCTTTGCACCCACGAGCTGCAACCGTGGGTCCAGAAGAACTGCTCGGGCTACATCGAGCATCATGCTACATCGGGCTCTGATCTACATCGAGCATCATGGGTTGAGGATTCTGTATGCCTAGGTTCCCGCCCTAGGACAAGTCGAATCGAAACGGATGAGTTTAAGCAGCAAGCCGTACTACCAGGACAAAGGCACCCGATACGACCATAACCGGTTGAAGGACACCGAGGGTAAAAAGAAACCGTACCGCCGGATGGGCGACGACAGGAGACTACAATGAGGGTTGGCTTCTGATCCGTAGGAACGAAGAGGAGCGTTGCTTTAGAATCAGAGACGCGGATGAGGGAGAGCCCTAGCCAAGGTAGGCAGCGCCACCCCGATACAGTTTCTCAAAGATACCAGAACTTAATCCATCAGTAATGGTAGCGCGACAAAGAAAGAGCCAGCCGAAGCACGACAGACACATCCCTGTCCCTACGAACGCTCTGACTACAGTGTGAGTCCGTTGGGCCGTCTGAATTTGAGTGTGTCATCCACGCCGATGTAATTAGTTAATTGAGAGGGTGTGTGTGGCTGGAGAGTCCCCAATCGGGTGGTCGGCGGAAGTTGAAGGCCTTTTCGAGAAGGCATCGGCCGGCTCGGCATCTTCGTGTACGGAACGTTTTCGTTTCGTTGTTCGTGAGGTGGTGCACGGGAGTGTGGACGGGAGTGTGGACGGGAGTGTGGACTGGAGGTTGAATCGACTTAGAAATCTGCCGGCTTGCACTTTTTTGAGGCCTGAGTACTTGAACGTGGAGGCCATTAGCTGACTATCGGAGACCTCATCAGCTGGGGGAAGTCGCGCTCTAAACAGCGAAACGAGTTGACCGAAGTGGTCCCCGAGAGCTTCGCGAACGAACTCAACGTGTTCAGCGAAACAGGAAGAACGCCAGACACTTTCCAGGCGGGCCTCCGTTTCCCCTACGGTCTGTCCAAAATGTTCGGTTCCTACCTTGAGCCAATGGGCGGTCCAGCAGAGGATGGTCAGCAGTCGTTGAGATGCTCGCGATTCAGGCAGTGCGCCGAATTCGTTGGGGAAGATGTCCAAGTGCAGGTTGATGGCAGACGTCCAACCGCTGTTGTGGTTGCTGAGAAGCGAATGGATGCACTGGTCAAAAACCTCAACGGAGGTAGGACAGCGTAGTAAATTGGCGAGGAACCAAAGTTGTGGGACATTGGCAGGTCGCGGGACCACTCGCTCGGCTTGTGCCACCAAGCCGTCAACTGCATGGCGGCCCAGTTGGTCGTTGATCACGCCAGCCAGATGCACCCATCGCCACCAACAGCGGCTGAAGTCCGGCATTGTTCGATAGTGAGCCAGCTGGTTGAGGTAGACGGGTGTGATCCGATCTGTTGCAAACTTGACTATCTCTCGCTTCCCCTTTGCCGACATCATCCCTTCCCGATCCATCCACGCCTTTCCGCACCGTTCTGCCGCCCTCTGTTCGGCTTTAACACACGTCTGTATTACACTTTTTATGAAACCCTTTAAGTCTGTCTCAGCAGCCGCATCCCAGCTAGAAAAGCTCGACTGCGGCAGGCTCGAACGCGGGGTGCGCACGCCCTGGTTCTCTTCGGAGGCATAGGAAGGGCCCAGTCTGCCGATATATCTTCTGATTCTCTTCGTCGGGATGTCTACGCGGCACAACATCAATGAAGCCCGGTCACAAGTGGACAACTCGGTTTCACCTAAAACCATGCGAGTGGCCCAACTCTCGATCTCTTCGTCGAATATCTTCGGACCAAGTGCCTTGCGCAGGGCAGTTACCATTCTTTTTCTTCGATTTGTTTGCGTTGCCGCCGGCTTCCCAGCGTGAAAAGCGGATGCCGCTTGGTGCAGCCAGAACTGGAGTTTGGAAGCGGTGCTTACTAACTTCATTGCCTCCTTGCTTTGAGGCAGTCGCGGCAGGTCCTCTGGAATGGTGCCTCTGTAGAGTGGCAAGAAAGAATCCCAGCCGACTCCACCGGCAAGCTCCTTCGGCATCCACCGCGCTAGGGAGTTTGATATTCCCAACTCGTCTATCGCGCAAGCTAGGAACCAAGTATCCGAGACTCCAGGAGGCTTCCTCAACTTCTCTTCCGCCACAGCGACCAGCCTCTCGAACAGGCGCTTCGACTCGGAGTCTGTTTTACCAACGCCCGAGTCATTGCTTGCACCGAGTCGTCGGTCGGACAACCTCTCTCGTAAAAAAAGGGCTACACCCTGTGCGCGCCATGCACACACATCGAACGAGACGCCCACATTTCGCTGCGGTGCTATTCTTTGGAAACACTCGAAAACGTGTCGCACAATCTCGCCTTCCTCAACGCTATAAGGCTGCACAGGATCCACACCTTCTGCTAGACAGCCACTCAGGACACGGGCAGTGAGCCCCGCACCCCCCCCGACACAAGGCTGCCCTACGTCAGGCTGACCCTGTACCTCCGCTCGCTGTCCGGCAAGAAACGCTGGTTCTTCGTAGCGCTGGTCTATCGTAACATTTGGTGCTGCTTCCGTTGCGAACAATTCCCAGTCCACCTCCAACGAGTCCAACGTACCCGCTTCTCCTGAATCCTGGTCATCCATCAGGTACCAGTCCGGATTAAAGTCATTTACGATATCTAATCCCCCCGCATTCTGATCATTCGTTAAGTACTGGTCCCATTCCTCATTCCATTCATATGTAACCGGGGCCACCGAAACCGGGGTCGCCGTAACTGGGGTCACCGTAATCGGGGTCGCCGCAACCGGGGTCACCGTAACCGGGGTCACCGTAACCGGGGTCACCGTAACCGGAGTCGCCGTAATCGGGGTCACCGTAACCGGGGCCACCGTAACCGGGGCCACCGTAACCGGGGTCATCATCAACGACTCCTCATCTAACGCATCCAACGCGTTCAATGATTCTCCTGGATCCAGCTCACTCATTAGGTACTGGTCCCATTCCTCATTCCATTGCCCTGTCACACTAAACGCCAAAGGCCTTACAAAAATGGCCAGTCGAAACTTGAAATATTCTTTCTTGATACGATTGCATCGCGGCGGCCGACGCATTGCTTTCAAAGGGGCGGCTTTTTTTTTGAATTTTATACATTCTTCTTCGCGGCCGGCAGCTTTCTCGGTGCCTTTTGTTTGTCGTGCGGAGACTCGACAACTTCCAGTGCGTACTGGCCAGTTGTACATGTAATTTTTTGTTGTGGCACCACGGATCGTCATATCCTACTCGCTTATGCCGCCAGCGGATTGCCGCGGCATGTACCGCAGGGACTGCGCCACGAGCAGGCCCCAGCCCCGGCGTCCCGACGCACCTGGGCTTCACACTGTCGGCGCCGAAAGCCAGCTTCCACTCTGTCAATGGCCGAGTGATCGTTCCGTTGAGCACCCTTTTCGGTGTGGCAATCCGTGATTGGCCAGGCGGTGACGGTGTATCTGCCCCGCCAATGAATGCCGTTAAGCTCGAAAGCAGGACGCGTTGGTCGATTCAGGCGCCTCCGAGGCCTGTGTTTCTTCCAAGGTGGATTACTCTGCGCCCATCGGCCAACTCCTTCACGGTTGCGAACCGCGTCCGGTTTCGTGACTTCGGCGAGATTCGAACCCGCGGGCACCCCGTACGTCCGTGCCTGACCTTGGTGTCCTGGTTGATGTTCGGGTTGTGCAAGGCGCCCGCTACGTTTCAACGCCTGATGTAGGACATCCTGGGAAGATCTGCTGTGGAGCGCGTGTTTCGTTTGTATCCACGATGCCCTGGTCTTTGGCTGTTCCCTCGCCGAGCATAACGCGAGCTTGCGGGAGGTCCCCAGGCGCTTGAAGGACCGGGAGGTCCTCAGGCGCCCGAAGGACCGGGACCTGCTCTTGAAGGTATCGAAATGCCGGTTCGTGCACTCGCAAACTGAGTTCTCAGTTAGGTCGTTACCGACGGGGGATTTTTTCTTCACCCCAAGAAGGTCGAGCGCCTCCCCGTCCCGAGGTCTCCCGCTCGTTCCTCGGCTTGGGAGCCTACGGAGTTTATGACTCCGATTGGCACGGCTTCCCAATATGCCGGAAGTAGGGTAAGTGGCGAGTCCGTCTCTGAGTCGGATTGTGTCTTCGAACGATGTCAGCTTTGTTCTCGCGAGAGGGGCCAATTCGTGTCCACTGTGGCCGGGGAGTAAAGGTTCGCCCACAAACCTTGCCCTTCCCAGCCGTGATCCCGTATGCTGTCGGCGCTTTCCCCTTTACCAAGCTTTGGCTCGTCAGACGCCACAATACGCTCTCCGGGCGGACCGTGGGTTCCGTCAACGCGCGCTCTCATCAACTGTGTGCCAGTCGTCTACCGCAACTGTGTGCCAGTCGTCTACCGACGTACGCCTGCAGCCTCCATGGTCTTCTTCGTTGCCGTCTGATCAGCCTAACCTTTCCACCTCCGCGGACGCTTTCGCTCGCGTGCGATGTGATGGTGTGGCCAGAAAGCCTTGGCCGTCATGCGCGACGGCATCATTTGTCGCCACGGTTGTTTCTCACGTGTCTTGTCCGACAACGGCCCCCAGTTCCGTTCGGTGCTGGTGTCGCTTTCAGGGAGGCGGGTACGCCGAGCGGCTCATGCGTACCTTGAATAACTCCCTTTGCGCGGGTGGCAGTACTTTAGGCTAGCCGCCGTTTACGCGCAGGCACCTCAACCTTTGGGAATGATCAAACCAGCCAGCTTTACATAACAGCCCCCCCTCCTCCGCTGCTCTATGATGAGTTAGAAAGGTGTTGTGTCCTTGAGCGGGGGTGGGTGACGCCGAAGGTTCTTGTCAATGTTGGTTGCACGCGGTGTGTGTGCACACGATTTTCAGATCGAGGTGCCTCTCTCTCTCCGGGATGCGTTGCCGATAGGTTGCCGATAGGTTGCCGATAGGTTGCCGATAGGTGGGATATCTAACAGGCCGTCGTCCAGTTGTGGTCACGCCCAGCGTAGCCGTCGTTTATCGGCGCGTGTCCTTGACGGATGTTGGAATTGTTGGAGGAACTTGCTGGCTCGTGCAGGAGGGAGTCCTGAGTGCTTGAACAAGGATTCCATTAGCTGAGTGTCGGATACCTCGAGGGCGGGAGGTAGTCGCGCTCTAAACAGCGCAATGAGTGAGTTGAGCGAACGTGTGGCCCCCGAGAGCCCCGCTGACGAAGTCAACAATGGGGCGGAATCGGGAAGGTTGAGGGTCATCACCTAAGTGAGCTTCTGTGCGCTCTACGCTCAATCCGAAGTGCTTGGTTCCCGTCTTGAGCCAGTGTGCCGTCCAGCACAGGAGTGCCAGCAGTCGCCGGGAAGCTCGTGATTCGGGCAGGGGACACCCAGTCGTTTACTACAGAACTGCTCTTTCATCACGCCAGCTAAGTTGCCACCAACAGAGATCAAAGTTTAGCGCGTTCCTGCCGCAACATTCTTTCAGCGTGTCTAGGTTGATCCAATTCACCGCATGCTCGGCTACCTCTCGCTTACCTTCCTCCGACATTATCCCTTCCCGATCCATCCACTCTTTTCCGTAACGCTCTGCCGCCGTCCGGTCTTCTTCGATACATAAATGCATCATAGTCCCCACGAAAGCTCTTAGGTCCGTGTCAGCGGTCGCGTCCCAGCTGGAAAAGCTCGACAGCGACAGACTCCAGCGGCATGCGGGCAAGAACATCTCGCAACCGGGGTGTCGTTTGCAACCGGGGTGTCGTTTGCAACCGGGGTGTCGCTCAGTCTTCTGCTCCCCACTCCTGTTTGCCCAGGCAATGTCTGCCCAGGGAACCGGATCTCCCTCCTCTTGGTGTGACTGCACTACCGGCCATACTTGACTCTGCAACTCTGACAACTGCCCGGTTCGTGCCGCTGGTTCACCGTGGCATTTGGTCCTGCTTCTCTGTGGTTCATCATCAGATATCGGCCCCATTCCACGTTCCGGTAATCTATCACACAGGATGCTCCCGCATTCGTTATTTCCAGAGCATGTGAAAGCACTCCCGCTAGCTGACCCAGTGCTGCCGGTCAGTTCCCGACCAGAACGTCCTTTGTTCCTGCTTCGCTGTGATCAATCAGAATCGATTCCCATCCCACTTTCAGCGCGTGCGACACACTGGATATTCGAGAGTCGGAGTTGCATGTCATCCGACGGGTTATCTCTAACAAATCTACTGTTTGATCTGAAGTCCGAGAGGGAACTAGCCAAGGTCGTTGATGGTGTGGAAAGCTGTTATGAAGTTAATGCGGTAGAGCAAGAACAACGTGGGAAAGAAGATGGTCTCAGATGCCCGAAGGTAAGACGTCCAGGGTAGCGAGGAGTGAGCGAAGTATCAGGGACATACGCCCCCGCCGCAGGAATGCTGGGTGCGGGGCTGCCGGTCACCTGAGGAGTGGGTGCCCTCGCTTGGTGGTACGGGACGCGGCGGCAGGCACAACGTGCGTGCTGGCAAAAGGCGAGATATCCGCACCACCGTGAAGGTGGATAACACGAAGCCAGAGTTGCTGAAAACCGCTAGCCGGAATCTAAGTGTCGTGGTGGGGAATCTAAGTGTCGTGGTGGGTAAGAGACCCACGGAGACAGCCCTGGATAAGGGCGACCGAAGTCAGCTGTCCGGAGGCGTGACGGGAGTGCGGCTGATCGTGCAGGGCCACTCCCGTCGGTTCGGCGCAAGACCACTGGGGAATAGCGAATGATTCACGTACGTGAACCAAGCACACCGTACCAGCGTTGACCCCTGTGCCCGCAGCTCGGGAGCGACTCTGGCGGGAAGAACTATGGACTTGGGTGTTATGAAACCTAGCCACCAACGATGTTTAGCTAGCGCCCAGTGATTTATCATGAGGATGCTGGAACAGTTCGGAAGTATTCGTTGATTCGTGAGCAGGTGATCCTCGAGTGCACGAACAGGATTGCATTAGCTGAGTGTCGGAGGCCTGGACGGT